CTTAATGATTCCCTGACAGGTGGCCAGCGGCAGTCCTACGAGGCTGGTGTTGTTGATGGACATTATCTGGTCTCCGATGCTCAGCTTGCCAGAGCGAGCTGCCGGCCCGCCATTCATCATGTTGGCCAAGATAACAGTGGGCAGGATGGAACCCCAACCAGACTCCACAATCACCACACCCAGGATCTCACCTTTGATCTTCTCCAGCTGCAGCTGTAGAGCAGGAGAGAGTGACAGGACCAGCAGTTGAAGTCTATTTGTCCTGAGGTGATGAACTGATCCGGCTGCCAACTACTGCACACAGGAAATCCCTGGGGTTTCCATCACTCCATCCTGTCTCATTTACTGGGAGTTTCTACCCATTTAACAAGTGTTTACATCTTGTTATGACATTGACATTGAGTAGACAGGCACTTTAATTATATGTTACTATTATTTTTCCATTTATTGTGACAGTCTGGCCTACGGCAACCATTGAGTTACAAAAGAAATATTATAAGAAAAGTATACTCATAAAAATACATATTTATATACATGTATATAGATGTATATATATATATATATAGAATATACACACACTTATATACATATACTGTATATATACACACAACTATAATGTAATGTGAAGTATTTCCATCCATACACCAAACATATCACGATGACTACATCAACATCCTGAAAACCACCATCATCGTCTTTTTCCCTGAATACCTCTTTGCAGTTGTCAGAGTTTGAGAAGTGAATGAGGTCGTCATTGTACATCTCCTGGGTGTTGATGATGTCACTGTACTCCTTCTGACTCAGGTCCTCCGGGTTGATGCCGTTGGCTCTCAGAAACTCCTGGTAAGCCACACTGAAGGCCTGGCCGATGGACTGAGCGATGAGTTGTGCCTGAAGACAGAAAGGCGGACAGATGACGGCGAGCTTAACAATGAGGTGTGTGTGTGTGTGTGTGTCCTCAGAGACCGTATCAGGGGGGAAAAAATCAACAGCATAAACAAATTTTGAAAATGAGCCAGTCTAACATGCAGGTGTGTGTCCACAGCAGACTTGGAAACAAAGCCATCTCCTGACATCATTTGTGATGAAAATATTTTTGAAAAACTCAGGCTTCCTAATGAACTGTAGTTAAATGATGCAAACATCAGGTTAGCTGAAGAACAGTGAAATGCACGGGTCATTATAGAAGTGTTCATACAAAAGTACTGACTGCAGCTCTTTACTCTGGATCACAGGTTTTTGTTAGGTTCACTAGTGGGTCAAATAAGTCTAGGTAGAAAACTATTAAGAACTGCTATACAGCCCGCACAACCAAGACGACATTTCCTGCTATGAAAAGAAATCTTTTGAAAAAGTAAAGGCAGCGAGGAAATAGACTTGTAAAAATGGAAATCATTTATCTTGGCCGGGAGAGATAATATAGATCAGCATGGTAGAAAGAGCTTCTCATTTTACCTCATTTCCTCTTTAATTGAATTCTATAGCTGCCTATAAATCTCACACGGACTTTTTCAGACATTATTGCCCCTAACTCTTCAAATCAATAGCCTGTGAACGGGTCTTGGAGGACAATAAAGAATTGAAGAAAAGCTAAACACTGGAGTGAGCCTGTGGAGCTGCAACAACAGAAATGGCTGATGAGCTGATGAAGGGACTGCTGAATGTTTCCATTATATCTATGCGCCCTCTTTATTACCTGGCAGTGAAATGAGATGAGGACAGGACAGATTGGACTTCAGACTTTTCACTGACTGGCAGAGACCCTCGGTTGCTGCGGCCTCTGAGCAAAAATTAAATGTGGTGCCAAGGTTTTCAGACTGTGTTTCAATGAGACAAGCGGCAGCTGTGTGGTTAGGAAAAGGAAATGAGAAATGAAACGTCCAAAGAGTTGAGATTGTTTTGCAAAGGCGATGATGGTTACCATAGGTTAAACATTACAGTACAACTGTAGTGCTCCATCTGGGTGCAAACCTGGGATTTCAAAAAACAAAAATCTTTTCAAAAAAGATGCCCCAGGTACAAACCTGGGACATCTGGGTAGTTGGCACTGGGAGGACATGTGAGAGACAGAGTGGATATTTTTCAGATTAATTCACAAAGTTTATCAATAGTTTTTAGGCCGTAGTGATGAAACATGATGTTAAATGTTTTGCCTCTAAACCAAAAAGCTTCTTGTTTTCTGGTAGAAACTGATAAAACCCAGGCGTTTAACCTCAGTGAGAGCCATCAAGCTAATTCCGCTAACTGTTCCGCTAATTCCTTTGCAGGGTCACAGGGGAGTGCTAAAGCTAATGGAAGATTTTGGGGTACACTCATTCACGCCCACATTCTTGCAATGGAAGATTTTGGGGTACACTCATTCTACCCTTACACCACATTCTTGTCGAGTGTCGGATCAAAATACACATACACACACATACAGGTGGGGATAAAACTTTCCAAACTGGGCTCTTCCTGCTGTAAAGGTAAGAGTTCTAACAAGTGAGATGTGGTGTGTTGTTATTTACTGCCATTAGACCAGTGAAACAGTGACTAGGAGTCAGTGTCAGTTGTTTACTGTCACATGTTTAGTGAGAATAAATAACAAGGACGGCATGGTGGGAAGGAGACAGGTGATATCACAGGCTCCATCTGCTGTTCAGGAAGGCTAATGGCAGCATTTACACCCATGGTACGTGTACCCAGACCATATAGATGTCCTGATCTGGTCTCAGTGATGTGGTTTCCAACACATTAAAGAACACAGGTTTGGACCCTGCAGGTTTGGATTGATTACTTACATCTTCAGACTCAAAGACATGGCAAATCATCTTGTACTGTTTCTTCGCCTCGGGTGCTCCGGGCGTAGACTCAATACAGTCCTGTGAAGCAGAGCGCGGCATCCGACGTCTGGCCATCAGAACCACAATGTTTCCAATGTCAGCGATGTAAGATATGGTGCGGAGTGCATTATCCATCATTGTCTCCTGTAGGAATATTAATTAAACATCAGCTATATCAGTGTTTGGGTCGATACGTTAATGAAAGTATTTCAGCATTTTCTTTGACAATAAGCCAAAGAGACATTAAAGCGTGACCTCCTCGCCCATACATTATAACAATATATTTCTTTGATTCTGCTGGAGAATTGTTTTGAACGCACGTTTACATCGCGCTGTCACGTTGGCTCAACATGATTGACGTGAGCTTGAGATACAGTGTAATAGTACTTTCCTGTAGTACTATGGCGTATCTATATGTATGCATACAGAATACTGTATATATGTTCATGTACTACACACAAACACATACATATATATACATATATACAAACACATATATACACATATACATATATACATATACATATATACATACATATATACATATATATCATATATAAAACTACTAACTACTGTAACTACTGTAAAAGATCATATATACATATGTATATATATATATATGATGTTTTACAGTAGTTACAAAGACTACACTGCTTGTAGAACCAAAAAGGTGCACTAATAGTGAAGAGGATATCTGTACATAACAATGTTTGTTTGGATCAGACCAGGTCAAATAACTGTGTCGACTCTATTAGAGATTTATGGCCGAGCAAATATGTAGAAGCAGCAATGAAATGAAGGACAGACTGAAGAGAAATGTTGGGGTTTCTTTGTCGCGAATCTATGAAATTTAATTTCCTGTTCCGCTCACTTCATTGACTACTCGGCGATTTTCAAAACAAAAGGTCACATTTGCTACGAAGTTACCGCTCTCCATTCGACCTATTTTGTTTGTAAACCGTGTCAAAAAACTGCAGGGAGTGATATTAATTGCAGAGAGAAGACATTTTCGCTCAAACCTCTCCGTCTCTCTCCAGATTGCCAAGGCCAGTGGCAACCAGATGGAAAAAGGAGGAAGATAGTCACTGCAATGCAGCATGTTAGTTTCTGCCAAGAGTCTGCCTACACAGACACACAGATGCATGTGCACGTGCACACACACACACACACACACACACACCTGACACTTCACTCAGGCAGAAGCCAAGACAGAAATACTGCAAATGAATCATCATTTTATAACAACATTTGACTGTGAATGTGGCCCAACCTTCTACAGATGAAGCACAACCACAGTCCCTGCAGCACTTTTAACACGTCAGTCGCTAAATGTCAAAAAAAAAAAAAAAAAAGCCTTGAAAACTCTACAAGACTTTAGCCATGGTTAATAAAGCCTTGACAAAAATAGTGACGCATTTAAAAGGATCGAGATAACAAGGCGTGTTGATAAAAACACAGTGACGCATTTAAAAGGATCGAGATAAAACATGTTACCTGGTGAAGGATACAAATAAAAAAATGAATTTTTAACTATGGGAAAGAATTTATTTTAAAAGCACAGACTGTGCCGCAGCCAAACGTCTCTCTCTCTGGTGTTTATGCATTGACTTACGTTACAGAGTGATGACCAGTCTCCTCGTGCTCACCTGTGAGTCTGCGTTGAGAACTTTGATCCTCTGGGTGGAAATAAACAGATCCACCTCTGTGAGGGTTTGGGCATCTCCATCTGCATTCTGCAGAAACAACAGAGACACTGCATTGAAGTGTGGAAAAGTCCTAAACTGAAGGCAAGCATGTGGAGTTGATGCATTATTGATACATTAATTGTCCTGGCATGGTGAGGATGGGTTGGCATGGAAACAAAAAAAAAAAAGATTAACACTGAAGTCCAACCAGCTGGCTCTGACACCAGGGAGAGTAATGAGGTTTTAGCAGACAACAGGCCTCTGCACATTATCTTCTGCGCAGTAATGAAATTATATTAAATCTATTTTAAATATAACTAGCCTACAGTCATTTTAATAAAGTAGAAGTGTTGAAATATTAATAATACAGATGTAATCAAATATTTAATATTGTACACAGTGAACTGTTTTATGAATGTTGTTTATTAGTATTCATATCTGCTCGTGTTCAAAAGGTTAGTGTATGAATTTAAAGATTTAAACACTGAATAAAAAAATAAATGAAATCAAAGCTTCAAGGACGCAGTTCAAGGCTAAACTCAAGTCTACTACGTCTTTGAAACATGCTGTTTAAAAACAAGCCAATGGATTCTTACACAATGTTTTTGTATGATAATCTATTATTATATAACGTATTTCATCAGTCTTGCCTCAGACCGCGCTCTGAATATACACGCTAAGAACTGTTCTCTGTGCTATTTCTTTTATTCCATAAAATATAGGAAACCATGGGAAAGGAAAGTAGTGAGAATAACATTAACACATAAACAACAGCATGAGAACGGAGCTCCTGTTTCAGCTGTGGTTTTACAGTATGGCTTAGCAAAGTCGTTGATTTGTACCATCGTTAAGAACAAGGAAGCAATAAAAGAAGCTGAGGTTCAAAGGAGTGACTGTGATCAACAAGAAAAGATCTCAGACATTAGAAGAAGAAGTGGAAAAGTTGCTACTGATTTGAATCAATGAAAAGCAGTTGGTCAGCAAGAAAATAATTAGTGAGAAAGCGAAGCGAACATGGCGCAATCGTGACTCATCAGCACTGGTAAGAAAAAAAGCTTTATTTTTTATTCAGTTGTGTTTTTGTCAGGCTTTATTCTTTATTCAGTTGTGTTTTTGTCAGAATTATTAATTACTACTAATTATTGTTATTGGTTTCGTATACTAAAAGTTTGAATAAGCAGTAATCCAGGATCCAGGAACAGATGAATCCATTTCACTTTGATTTTATATATATATAATAAAAAAATGACACCATTATTAAATTAAATCCATTTCATTCTTACATATATGGATGAATATATGGCTGGAATAAATGCCTTATGGGTTCACACCAAAACATGTGAGTGGCAGTAAACCAGATGGAGCTGGGCATGTGTGACAAATCAAGTTGGATTCACATTCACTTATTAACATTGTTGTAATCAGATGATTGGCTGTTGTTCAGCTCTATTATAAGCCAGAAGGGAAAGCTACATGTAGCAGTTTGAACGCATATCAGCTGTAATAATGTTAGTTCTGATCAAACCATCAGACCACTGTTTTCACCTGTTATTAAGACATGAGCTGCATTTACACCACAACTAGAAGGTATCTTAGCTGCCACACTGTACATCGTCAGAAAGAACATAGCACTGTTACTCATTTTCTCTGAACCAGTGCTACCAGACCACTTCCTAGAATGTCACAAATGTTGCTCCACTGGTGCTAACACCAAGCAGTCAGTTCCATCACAAACCCAGTTGCTCAAGCTACTGAAATATATCGTTAGCTACAGTATGGCCGCATTGGACAAAATCTTTTTAAAGCTGCTTGAGTGGCGTTTTCTGGTCACCTCATATAGATCCACGTGTTTAGTCCTTTTTTAATGCCTGACATCGTATTTCGTTTTTCCAGACAGACAATTGCCACTCAAAACATACACACAAAATCAACAGCCGATATACAGTACATCATCACTGACATCAAGTGTAGGCCAAATGGGGGAGGTTTGTGGGCCACATGTGGCCCATGGGCCAGGAGTTTGAGTCATCTGCTAAAGATTTAGCTGCAGCAGTTAGCACAAGATTTCAATATATTACAATGTTGAGCATGTTGTTGAGACATTGGTCAATCAGGACAGTTCACTCCTGCTTGTCCATGGTTCCTGCGCTAGGCTACAGCTAGTCAGTCCTTCACAGCAGGAGTCACCAACGTGGTGTCCGGGTTTCGTACAGTATGTCCCAGAAGTTGACGGAGCAGCATTAATATTTCTTTTTTAATCTTACATTGTTCATGAAGTCTGATGACAAACATTTTGACAGATGGGAGCAGAAACACTAACCTCAGAAACAAAAATCTTTAGAATGTTACACTAACCTCAGAAACAAAAATCTTTAGCAACTGTAGAATGTTGTGGTATAAACTAGAGGTTTTATTTCTTCACATGAATTACAGACAAATAATTTAACAGCTGTCTAACTACAATGCTAAATAATCTAACTCACCAGAGAGTGGTTTTATTGTATACAAGTGTTGTATTATGCCACTACACTACTATACCCCATAGAGAAATATTAGTATCGTTAACCATGTTTCCACTTCTGCCAAAGGAACTAACTGGTGCAGTATATATTTTGTTACTGTGTTGAAACAGCCTTTGAGTCATTCATGAGTCCAATAACAGAACTTTAAGCCAAGTGTAAAAAGTTTCACTCGGCCTGATGACCAGTCACAGCACATTACACTGAAGGTGACCTATGAGGCAGTAATCAAACCCACAACCCTTGGACCTGGACATATAACCCATATGGCTTCTGCCTTTGTGATGATATAAACAGGCATGATATTCTGATGATTTACAGAGTTTATAAATGTTAGATTCTACATAGATCTGTAACGACATAAAAGATCAGAGTTTTGTTCAGTGCAGTGATGGAACTGGAGAATATTCTAGACCAGTGGTTCTCAACCTTTTTCTACTCTGTACCACCTGAGAAAACATGGAGCTCTCTGAGTCCCACCATGATGACCAACATTAGAATATAGCAGCAGAGGCCTTCACTGTTAGCTTCCACCACAGGAGAGGTGTTTAGAAAGATGTTTATGTTCAAATGTTGTATTAATTGTGCATTGTATGTTTCAGATTTATTCAATTGAAAATGTGAAAATATGAATTTTCCCCACGTACCACTAGAGAGCGCTCTCGTACCACCAGTGGTACGCGAGCGCAGTGGTACGCGAGCGCACCACAGTTTGAGAACCACTGTTTTAGACAAAGACACAGGAGAAGACGAACACACACACATACAATGAACAAATGAAATGTAAAAGCAGATGTGGCGGTGGAGGGGACGTGGCTGGGTGGGGGGGTGTCCTGGCTCTGTTTATTACACACCGCCTTTTTCTTGATTTTGGCAGCCTTCTGTACCCTCTGGCAGGCAGGTGGACAGGTGGGCAGGCGTTGGGACGGGACAAGGTCGGCAGAGACAGGAGCACGAAAACAGGAGGAGAAGGAAATAAACAAGGTGAACCAAAGTAACGTAAAAACAGCAAAGACTCTAAGAAAACAAACAGGAGGAACAAACGGAGAGGTGTTGGAAGGAAAGCGTTCGGCTTCAGATTTAGGTCAAGTGTCTTTTGAACGCAGCTAATCAGAAGCCTGCAGACATCAAAACACACATTTTCCGCAATACCAGCATTTACATAAAGCTTAATATGAGGACTCTGTGATTCTCAACTGGTGGGTTGCGACCTAAACGTACGTCACAGACTAGTTTTCAGTGAGATGCCAAGGCAAAAAAAATGTTAAGACTAATCAACATTAACATCATAGAACAAGACACACTAACTTGAGTTACATGCTAATTGAGCACATGCATGATGCAGACTATATTCATATGGATTTTCTTATATTGAGGACAAAAGAGGACAAAAGCCTTTGTGTGTTTTGTGCAGTGAGGGGTTGCCATCAAGCACTAAAAGTCTGACAAAATTGTAAAACAGAACTGAAGAAACCTCTTGGATGAGAGGCGAAACGTCTTCTTTTAGAAACTTCACATCCTGTTGCCTAACAGAACTCTTCAACCTTGACCATGACCTGGACGACTGAGAACCTTCACAGACACGTGCTAAAAACATTCCTCTGTTCCTTATCTCAGGCTCAAATAAATCTGAGTAGCTGAAAATTCTCCTTGATTTCATTTGTGGTTTGTCATCACGGATGTGGGTGGGTCTGAAAACTGGACCAGTTGAGAACCACTGTCTTAAGGGACCATTTAAAGCTCCTTTTCTGATCCTTCTTTTTTTATATTTCACCTCTTGTTATTGTCAAAACAGCCATCAGCAAGAGCTTACACTTACCTGGTTAAGGTTAAAAGAAACAAAGTAAGTCATTCATATGTGAATGTGTAAATCCATAAATCATTACTTTGAAAGTGAACTAACAACACAGATAAAGGTCTGGCAGGAGAAGAAGCCCCGTGAAAGATATAGATTGTGAAAAATGTGTCTGTGCTTTGTGTCAAGGATGCAGAGCTGATATCTGTGACAGATTAAAGTTAAAACTGACTGACTGTGTTTATTTCTCACTTATTTACCATCCGCTGCGACACACAGCGCATCACTGTGTACTATTTCTGAGCATGAGACTCAACATCCGCCTCAGTCACTAAACAAACCTCTGAAGGGAAAGACTGACGTCTCAAAAGCTAATTGAACAGCTCAAAAGAAGAAAAAAAAAGAAAAATCCTTTTTTCATGGATTCACTTTGTACGTAGGGACCGAGTCTCGCAGATGAGACATCTGCTGCTGTGCTGAACAGCTGAGTAGAAGAGTAGACATCAGGGGAAGGGCTGAGCAGCGGGGGGTTAGAGGAGGATTGGAGTAAATGTGCATAAACATCACATCAAACAGAAAACAGAGAGAGAGAGAGAGAGGGAGAGGCAAAAACCTTCACATAAATAACCTGTGCAGCCACAGTTGGTTCTTACAGTCTGAGCTCACAGGCTGTACTCTACTCATACTGTCCTCATACTTCATCAGTGAAGTAAAACTTCAAAATATCAGAGTGCATCCCAGCTCTTAATGCACATGTTTACCACATCTTAGAAAAACGGTTTCCCACTTACACTCCTTTAACATAAAATGAATGTATGTATATTCTATTGTATCTTTTAATATGTCTACTATTAGCTTGTATTTATTGTGATTTGTTTTGTAGTTTGATATATTTTAATATATTTTATGTTATATTCCATCCTGTTCATAGTCACTTCTAAAAGAGATCTTGATTCAAAAGGAACTCCACAGCAAAACAAATAAATAATAAATATATCATCAATCAATACCAAACTCAAGTCAAGTTTAAAAAATAACAACAATAAAAACAAGTGAAGAGAAAACACCAAAAAAGTATTAAAATAAAAAAAATCAATTAAAAAACACACCTGAAACTGTCTTGAAAGCCAGTGAGAATAAATGATCTACCGACCTGAGGGGGCGTGAGGGGGCATACGGCTGGAATAGGTTGGATTGTATGGGGCAACACTGAGAAGATTTTGAATGTAAATAATAATAAAATTTGAAAATCAATCCTCAAATGAGCCAACAGCCAGTGCTATTGGTTTTTGGCACCAGTTAAAAGGCGGGCAGCGGTGCTTTGAAGCAGCAGCGGTGTCTGGCAAAGCCCTGCGTCAAGTGTGTTACAGTAGTGGAATGAACTACTGAGTTCTGATAAAAGCATTTAATGCGATTTTTTTTTTTTTTTTGCCAAATAAGTCAAAAAGCTTTCAATTCAAAAGGGGAAAAAAACATTTTTATTAAATTGAGTAAACGTCAAACCAAATTTGAATACAAACCTCTGACTTTTTTTTTGTGCAAAACAAAAGTGAAAGAACTAATTTCTTTGATTTGCATTAGAACTTCTTGACTTACTGAGAAGTCAAAATTCAACTGGGACGTCACTGGCTTCTGCGTTAGAAGTGCTTTGTTCATTCATTCATTCATCTCAGTCATTAAAGCCGCCTTACGTTTAGAATCTGTATATAAAAAACCTTCTTTATCTTTAACTCAAAAGGCAAATGTTCCACTAGGAGTCAGTGAACTTATGTAATGGAAGAAAGAAAAAATCAGGACAGATGCTTTGTCATCTGCATTCGTCTCCTAGCTCAGAAAGCTATAAATACTATATGTACAGACTGTTGTTACATAAACCCAGTAAAGAGGCTAAAGGCGAGCCCCTCTGAGCCGTATTACAGAATAAAACACATTTATTTAAGTCAAATCCACTCCCATTCATCGGAGCTGGCTTTAATTAACTGTTTTTTTCCCCTCTGTTCCTTGTTCTTAATTTAATTCCTGACACATTCCACGAGGTAAGAACACCCACATACAGTAGATCCATCTCATCCACAAAAAGGCTCATTAAAACCGAGGTGCTTTCAAAGGGCCACCACTAAACAGAAGGTCATGTAATATTTAGAGACACTCTGTTCCCAACAGGAGGGGATAAAAAAGACTAATGTCTGGGAAGCAACTCCTCACTAAGACATCAAGGAGTCATTCAGCCAATCGGAAGCAGACAACCCTGTTTGATCAAACACCTGGTTGAAGGATTCTAAAAAATAAGAAGTATTCCTCTGCTGTCTGAACATGTACTTAAGTTAATTTAAAAAAAAAATAGAAGTGACCGTAACAATTAAGCTAGGTAAGATTATTGTTCTCTAAACTGTTGTTTTGTCAGAGGCTGCACTGAACCACCATCATCATCAGAACAATATTAGAAACAAGGGAAATATGAGGTTCTCACTGCCTCTTCACATGTGGCTACAGTACACGTCTGTATCATGTTGCAGTGGTCAATACATGAGCAGACATGGGCTGAAGCAGCACCAACACTATGAGATGAGCATGATGAATGTACAACATATACAGTATATGTGGTCAATGATTGGGGAAAACGTCTGTGTAAGGGTCCATTGGAACATATTGGGTTTTGTTCTTGTAACAAAGCACTACGCTGTTTCTTTAAAGATCTTCCAGTTCTTCCAGTTAGGGCTTTTAGGCAGTTCCGTGCTGCAACATGAGATTAACTACACACTGCTTATAATGGCTGCTTAATGGCAGTCATTTTAATGCAGATGAAAACATGTGCAAAAGCTTTTCTTTCAAAGAGCAGAACAGATTTTCCAAGAGAGATTTCAAATGTATGTTAGAATAAGACGCAGCATTAGACTATACAGGAAAAATAGAATTGTCACTGTCAGCGGTTAAATGAAGATTACAGTGTTGTGTTAATAAACAATGCATGGTTTTCTTTTCCTTTTTTGGAAAAGAGATGTGAAATAATTTGCAGGACATAACACTGTCCTCCCATTGGAAATGAATGTGGTTCAGGAAGAACAGAGACACAAATACTAAATTAGGGACAATGCAGCTTCAAAATCACTACTTGTCATAATGTGGTGCTTGTGTTTGAATCGGTTGTTTTTCAAACTAAAGTTATGACGTGATCCGGTCTCTCTCAGAAAACACATTTGAACCCAGTCTTACGTAAGTTACGCTACTGCAGGATAACTGGGATGTTTTGTTGTTCAGAAAGAAAGAAGTCTATTATTTTTTACTTTATTTGTATTTCTTTTTTTAATTTTCATTATTTTACAAAATAATTGCTGGTGTCCACAAAGAATGATAAAAACTGTGAGTAAGTGAGATAACAATACCTATATTTGTAGCAGAGCAGCTATCTGTGCAATTGTCATTTGACAAATTATTAAAATGAAAAATAAGCTCCACCTAGTCAATCTTCTGTCATTCTAGGTTTTAGGTTCAATTTCTCACATGTTGATTTATTTTCTCTTGACTGAGGCATTCACCTTTTGATGTGAAGCCAAAAACAAAACTTTTCCTAAGGAAAAAAATGAAATGAAAAATCAAATGTATTCAATAGTCCGCCCACAGGTCAGTGTCTGTCTGGCTGTCTCTGTGTGGTTCTCATGCTTTGCAGTCTGTTCATAAGGTTACCGTAAGTGGGATTTGGATTCAAACCCATGCAGGAGTTCAGGCTGATAATGTGGGAGAGTGAATGGCCTTTGCAGAGGTTTGCACTTTGAGAGCGTTCCCTGCTTTGTTAATGAGGTATAGACACAGCTTCACCATCTGTATTTGATCAGTCAGCAACACTGAGTCAGACACACTCTATTCCTGACAGTGGCCGAACCAATTTAAAGTTTTAATGCCAGACCTGAACCTATTGTGCAGGAGCTAATCTTGGACTCTTTGGATGAAAAAAGGTCTGAGTTCCTTAAAAGGTTCTTCACACCCTGAAGACTAAGGTGGCAAATGTTTTCCTAGTTTCCTAGTTCTAGTTGCTAAGTTTTTTTGCTAAGAGATGAAAAAGTCCACTTTTTTAAGGCCCAATAAAGAATGAATGGTTTTGTTCTTTTTGCAAGTCAAACGTTTTGCACGACTGCCTTAGTGTCCCTTAGAGTGCGTGGTTTAAAATACCTTGACCCTGCTGACGGCCTCCTGAGCCTGCATCATGCGTATGTTCTTGGAGGGGTTCCTCTCAGAGAGCAGCTGAGTGGAGCCCAGGTAGTTAGCAGCAAAGATAATCCCATCAATCAGGTCCTCTGGCTCACATGGTCCTGGAACTGGCCCAGAGAAGACAGTGATTATTGGGACAGATTGTGGTGAGACAGGAAGAGTTGGCGGTGTGAGAGGAGAGGGCACAGCTACAGTCAACAGGCCGCCTGTTGGGGAAGTAGAGCCAAAGACTGTTGCTGTGGAGATGGTGATAAGAGTCTGGTTGGGGCTGAGGAGTGAGATGGCCTCCGGCTGTGAGCTAATGGAGGTGCAGCGGCGGTGGGAGGCTGGGCTGACATTAATCTGCATGGCTGATATTGAGATGTGGAATCTCAGACGCCCACCCGGGGGCGGGGGGGCAGAGGGGCAGCATAATGAGGCCCAGGTTCTGGGCAGAGGCAGAAATCTGACGTGACTGTGTGATGGCAGTGGAAATGTTTCAAAATGTTCCTCATAATTATAATATTTGAAAACAATCACAATCAGATGTGTCGCTGATGAACTTACCGTCGACAAAGCTGGGGAACGCGGCGACCTTCTTGGGTGGCTGTACACAGAGAGGAGAGGAGCACAACAGCACAGTCACAGAATGACACAAAGACAATGAAAATAAATACAATCTTTAGTCAAAGGACCACGCTGCAAAAACCTTATGTTTCAGGTTAAATAGTAATTAGCTTCAATTAGCTTCAATCTAGAATATCAGAGATATATCCATTAAAAAGCTTTTCAAGTCAAATACAGTTAGAAAAATTCAAACAATGCTTCATTGTGAGAGGCTTCAAAGCCGAAGCTGTTCAGAAGATATTAGACGGCACAACAGTCGTCTCTACAG